TTTTTATATTTAAAAATTGCGTAAAAATACTATAAATCATGATAATTGACAACATAAAATATTTCAAAAATGTTGTATGTGGGTAGTCTTATTATGCCTTAAATAGCGTCAAAGAAAGTATAGGTTTGTGATAAAAAAACTTATTCCTTTATCCACACAAACAATCGCTTCAAAAACTAGGTTATTAGCCCCAAAACATACCATTTATATTATTGGGCCCGTGCATAGCACGGGCAACATTATCTAGTATATATAAAATGTAAACTTATGAGTCAACTTCTATATCAATTAAAATAAAAATCGCAATTTAAAATCCTAAATTAATTTTTCGAAAGAATTTGAGATTTGAAATCGAGACGGCACGAAAGTTAGATGCGGGCCTGCATATTAGGCATGAATTACAAGCCCAAATTGTATCGCGATGTGGAAACCAAACACAAGTTATACGAAAAAAAACAATAAGCGGCAAAAATTGCAGAATATTGTTCTACTATTATTTCAAAGATTCAATCTTTTAAGAAGAAAAATTCTAGAGTTTCTTCAGCAAGGTAATTTCTTGATTTTTGTTCCTTTTTTGTTTGCTCAATTGTAATGATTAAATGGGTATTATTGGGTAAATTCTCAAGCTACAAACACTTTTTTTTAATTTGGGGATTGAGCTAATCAATTAAGAGATTTTCACCATTGTTGAGTTGGTAAAGAAGAAGCTTTAGGCAATGAATTGGTTGAGAAATGTGGAATTTATTATGAGTATGAGTTGTAGAACCAAATTGTTAGCCTAAATGGGTTATTTTGGGATTGTATGGATATGTATGTATATACATAATATAGTGATAACGAAGTCCAGATTGGTATTTGTAGATTATGTGTTGTTGAATACTTGGAGAACTTGGAGAAGTAATTTTGAGCTAAAGTTTTATGGTAAGTTAAGGCTTACTTGCTAAAGGAGAAATTTTTAGTAAAATCCATGCCCTCTACGTGTTTGATGAAATTGCTAACAGAAGACTTTTATGACCTAAGTACTTGTGGGAGCTAGTGAATGGATAGTTTAAGACGTTGTTACTCGATATAAGCTTAGAATAAGAAAATAATGTAAGTACATGTAATATATGTCGTCTTATTTGACTAGTGTGTTACTTGGCTTAGCTTTTTATGACTACTTGTTATGTGGAATTGTTTGCAACATTTATGTTCAGTTCGTGCTTTTTTTACCGCTACCTTGGTGACTCGAACCCACAACCTTAAGGTTGAAGGTGGAGGGTGCTTACCACCTGTGCCTCTTGTTCTAGACTCAGATGAGAGAGCTAGCTGACCTACCCTTGTGTGAGTGTCACGGAGGCCAGGGTTAGCTACCCCATGCTTGTAGGGACTTAATTGAGTCTTCCTGCTTATCTTCCTTTTTTTGTGATGTGTCTTCCTGTTTATCATATTTTTCATAAGTTGGTCAATTACTTTATGAACACTGAGGATAGAAAACGTAAGTTAACAGTAAAGTCTGTAGCACATAGCTTCTGCTGACCTTTCTCCAGTTGATACCTGATTATTTCCCTGCAAGTGTTCTCAGGTGCTTAGAGTGATTTCCCGTGGCAATTAAATATAAGCATTGTTCTGCAAGCAGACTGCTTGCAAATCAAACACTCTATCCTGGTGGGAATATGTTCTTTCTTCTCCTTGGTGTTATAGAAAGAAGCCGTTTTAGCTTAAATGTTATAACATAGTGGGGTGAAAATGTTTCTGGGTTACAGTTGTGATACTAGATATGTCACTCTTATTTCTTGTCCTTGCACGTACTGAAGTTCAGACACTGACAGATGCAAATTATAAGCAGAAAAAGATTAACTGCTAAGTGAAAAAAAAAATGGGATATACACCATTGACTATGTGTTCATAAATTGAGGTGGCCATTTTGGAATTCTACTGGCAAAAGAAGTGACTCACTGATTGGGAGGCTGATCGCAACATTGGCTGCAGGCAGTGTTGTAGGAGGAAGAAGATTTATGTGAGACTATAATCTTGTGTAAACAAGGAATGATAGTCTCTACTTTTACATGTTAAGTTTTGCATCTTGAGAGGATCGAACTAGGTGCCATTAGTTTTGTCACTGATAGGCATTATTGACCAGTTAACTCTCTAGGATGATGAAAAGAGGTAAAGGAGTTATCACAGCAATTTATGTCCATCGTAGTTTATTCTTAAACTTAAGGAATTCAAGATTTGAAAGGATGAGGGATCTATATACTGTACGGCTCCGTTGATAACTTTCTGGATCTTTTTTCCATGATTGTTGAGTCCTTCTCTAGATCCTTTACTTCAAATTCTGAAATTGTAGCTTACGGGCAAATAAGTCTAGTATTTTAAGATGGCCACTGAAGACGCAGAACATTTACTTTTGCAGGGCCATCTGAAAGGCAATTGATTCTGATGTCAGCCATGAACCTCTCCCAATCTGATTTGCAATGTCTATGTTGCTTAGTGTTTCACTTTTCTGTACCTCGCTTGTGTTTCGTCTGTGCATTTTCCATTGATGATTGTTGTCTTTTCATGCAGACCATAAGTGAAGGGAAACACTTTAGGATCAGCATGTGCTAACTAGAATTTGTCTAATGTCATTTCTGTTGTAACTTAGAGAAACAGGTTTGGTAACTTAAGTGTTTTGTCTCTTTCTGTGATAAATGGGCTTTCTTTTCTAGCAATGGCTTATATTTACTAACATTAAGGACCCAGGATGCACAGCGTATAGGATCAAGGCAGACAACATATACCGCTAGTTAACCCTCAGACGCTTAAGCATCCTACTGGCATCACTCTCGGCTGACCCTGTTTTATTATCCTTATGCAGAGGGGGGAGCTATCGAAAGTCTTGCAAGCCACCTCCTACACTAAGCTTAGCGAGCTAGAAGCTAAAGTGAAATTTTTTTTGGCATCTTTTAGCTTTGACCCTTAGAGTTTCCTAACCTGCTGACAGCCTGGCAAAGAGAGTCATTATTTGTATTACATCTTCGAATAAAAAGAGAGGGCTTTCCTCTTATCACTGGAGGGGAGAGGGGATCTGGGGTGGGTGGCAAGGAGCAAGTCGAGTGATAGGGCATATTGAAGGATTCAAGTCCTGCAGCCTCAATTACAAGAATGATCCCAAATTGCATAAGAATAGACTTATCTTTTTGTTATATTCTTTTGAACTTTGTTAAGAAGTCTTTTGTACACACATCTTCTTGATACTTGTCCAGAAAAAAAATGGAAGAAAGAAAGAAAGGAACTGAACTTTATTCAAGATTCCACTCCTAATTTCATATTTTTTCTTGGTGTTTATTTGCAGTAAAGATTTTTCACGACATAGGGAGCCATGATTTCAAGTAGCAACTTGTTTCATAAAACCCACTATGAGATCCTAGGTGTGACGGAAGATGCAAATTTGGAAGAAGTCCGTAAAGCCTATCGTTCAGCCATACTTTGTTTTCATCCAGACAAGCAACAAAATGCATCAGAAACATCTAATTCTGAATGTCTGACAGAGAACAAATTTTTGGAGATACAGAGAGCCTGGGAAACCATTGGCAACCCCAGGTCACGTGCACTTTATGACGCTGAATTGCTTACTTTGAGACAGGATGCAGCAATATCTGAAGATGTCAGCTTAGATGACCTTACAGTTCAAGATTCTGGTGATATTATAGAGCTTTCTTATCCTTGTAGATGTGGTGACTACTATTTCATCGATTCGTTTGAGTTGGCAGACACGGGTTGTTCAATATCAAGAGACGGGGAAATGGTATCTTTGCTAACGTCTAAATCGTTGCCAACATCTGTTGTGCTTCCCTGTGGATCTTGCTCTCTTAAAGTCCGCTTACTGATCAATGGTGATTCTAGGCTTCCCATAGATGTTCACTTGTAATTGTAACTGTTTTGGAGACACAATTCTCTATGATATTTTTGCTCAAATTGTTGGAAATTGAAATGACAACAAAAAAAACAGAAAGTACGAAATTTGTTTAGTCTTTTTTTTCCTTGGTTACTAATTCTAAAATGGTTTGTTGGCCACATGACAGGGCTATTTTTTCATTTGTTTGTATCCAAATGCACCTTGTATTTGAGTACTAAAATGCAATTTATATGCATGTTCAATATCTTGATTTTGATATAGGATGCATATAGTCTAAACCGTGAAGACAGGATTGTAGGAGAGCAATACAAACATCGTGCTGCTAGGGCAAGCAATCTGAATGATGCACCCTAGATGACGAAAGTTAATCATACGCTCTGACTCGAATAGCACGAGGCACGTGGAATCCTATGTGAATAGCTGAAAGCATCACTATCTTAAGCTTTGACCCAAGTAGCATGGGGCATGTGGAATTGCGTGTATAAACAGCACTTTTTAGCTCTCTTCAGATTTTCACGTGTTACGGACCCGTTTACCTTTTTTCAACTCTTTTCATTTCCTGAGGGGAAAAGTTATCAAAAGTGGGCATTCTGGAAAGGAAAGGAGAAGGCCATATTGACTTTTAACCAAACCAACATTTTTGCTCAAAGTCACTTTATAGTCTCGTGACCATCTTTCAGTCAAGAAATATGAATGGACCTGCTACTGCAAGTGGTCATTATTTGGTACACTGTCCTCTTTTCCCCCTTAACTTTAGGCTGAAGTGAAAGCAAATTCACCACAAATTTAGCATCTTGCTCATGACTAAGAAACACCAAGTTTACTTGTATGCAATAAGAAATTCAGAAGTCCATTGCTTTAGCTTCAGAAAATACCGTACAGGTTCCTTTAGCTCAAGTCTTCACCTTAAAAAGATTAAAGCCCTCATATTTTCAAGATAGAAAGCCACTTTCAAGCAGAAATTTCAAATGGGAAATCAGAAGATAGATGACTAACAAGTTCGGTTTGCGGAACTTTTCACCTGCAACTCTCATCAAGAAATATCAGCAACACTTCTAAAAACATGAGCTTTTCTCTTAATCAAGAGTCACCAAATCATTCTAAGAGATTCAAATTACTTGTCTCAACTGTCAAGGATGCTTTTGCAAACTGCCATTCTTTCAGGAAAAGATCAAATTCAAGTCCAGAAGAAGATGATCCGATTTGTGACTACGATGATGAAGTACTCACTTAAAGCCATGTAATTCTTCCAAGTTCAATGCTATTAACTGCTGATTTTCTCATATTTTTCTGAAAACTGTTTCGCGGTTTTATCAGCAGGTATTTGTATCAGCAGTGATAAGTCAATACATGGAGTTGAAATGCAGAAGAAAGACAGCCATCACAACTGACAAGTTTACCTGGGCTTTCTCTCCAACAACAGGAGATTTCTTCATCTCTGCAAGACTAAGACAAAAAGAGGAAGATCAAGAAACAGAAGAAAGGGAAGATTTTTACTCTGTTGCTAGTAGTCTTTCTCCCTGCTCCAATGTTACAAGCTTTGAGGCATTTGTCACAGCTAAGACGGTCTTTTCTCGATCATCAAGCTTAGAAAGTATTGACTTCCAGGATCTCAGGAGGCATTCTGTTATCCAAGAATTATCTGACTGTGAAGGATGGCCATTTGGTCTATACCGAAAAGCCTTGTTACTTCCACCTTTGCCAAAATCACCATCTGATTCTTGGTCATGGCGTAAGAGTGCTAGAATGGTTAAGATGCACTGATAGTTAGCATTTCAAATCAATTACCTCTATTCTGCGAAGCAATTTTACATTTTCCCTTGCGAAAGGATGCTTGATCTTATGGTTATGTATGAAGCATGAACTATGTTCTTCAATAATGGCTACAATCTTTGCATAACTCAGCTTCTTGATATAGTTCACATGTTCAAAAAGTCCCTTTTCTTGTCTCACACTTCTCAACCGGCATACTTTTAGAATAATTATCCACACTAGTGTCAATCAAAGATGTGCATAGATTCAGTATTTCAGTTTGTTCAATTGAACACAAAAGAGATAAAAGTGAACTGACTACTACCACACAGTGCCATGTCCAATAATCAATCAAGAAAAATTAAATCACTGCACCAAATTCATCAGTAAACCGGAATCAATTGACATGAAACACTCTCATTCTGAATACTCAGGAAACGGTCTCCTTGAAGAAGTTATTAGAATTAGTATCAACTATATATTGCTGCTATCACATTATAAAACTTGCGAAAGAAGAGTGCAATTTAACGGATCACATCGATATCATCCTGTATTATCTAAAACTTCCTTCTCTTTTTCCAGGAAAATGTTACGTAAGTGACTTAAAGGCGAAAAAACTTCTGACTTTCAGCGATCATTGAAGGCTTATGCTCTTTGCTCAACATAGGAACCAGCCAGTCCTGAAGTCCCAAGTACTGTAACCTGGAGTAAGAAAGCCAGAAATCACTATGAGAAAACAAATACTGATAAAAAGTAATTGATAAAGAAATGAACATTGGACATAACTCAAACCAAAACGCTAGCTTAAGAGATGAGGATTGCTCATTACCATATAAACAGACTGACTTCCTAAAACTCACTGATATGAGACGCATGACCAGGACTAAACATCTGAAGTGCTGGCAATATAAAATGGGGGCCTAATATGGGTGAAACAATGAATTGGGATAGGGCCGATGCTGATACCATGAATAAAAAATGGACATTGGGCCTAACTCAATCCCAAAAACGCTCAAAAGATGAGAATTGTCCAAGACCATATAAAGCGACCAAATTTCCTAAGCCTACTGATGTGGGACTCTTAACAGTAATTTCTTTAAGAGATCCCATAACGTCTATTGTATTTTGTAGAAACATTCTCATTAGTGGTACTCGAGGAAGTATGATTTTGTATTTGAAACATCTCTTGCAAGAAAGTGTAAAAAATTAAAAATTACAACCACATTAGTTTATTTCCATTTAAAAAGGGTAGTCCGGTGGAAAAAGCATTCCGCGTTCATGCAAGGTGCCGGGATGGACAGCACCCCAGGGGTGTAATGTAGATAGCCTACCCTAATGCAAGCATTAATGAGAACTTCCACAGCTCAAACCCGTGACCTATTGGTCACACGGAAACAACTTTACCATTGCTCCAAGGCTCCCCTTCAATTAGTTTATTTCCATTAGAATGGTAAATTTTGTATCACAACAAAATGCTTAATGTTTTCTACATAAAAAAGTTATAATCTGGTAAAAATAAGTTTTTGGCCAGGGTCCAGGAATTGCAGAACTAGTTACAACAGTGAAATGCAACACAAATCTGGAACGTTTTGAAAAATGAATGGTCAGTAGACTAAGCGCAACAACAATAAAGAAATTAATTTTCCAGAAGAAACTGAACCCCACTCTATCAAAATATAATCTCATGTTGGCAGAGGTTTCTAAACTAATTATTGGATAGTAACTTTGTACGCAGAACATAATTTGAAGGCGCAGAGGATGAATCATACTGAATAAAATCAATTTTTTGAAACAAACCAAAAGGAAAATGAAAAGGATTACTTGACCACAAATTTAGAAGAACTATTTGACTTTCTTAAATTACTCAGGGTGTCCTCTCCTCTCCCTCTGCCACTTTAATGCCCTAATACAAGAGAAAAGTAATTCGGGTTGCAGATATCGCTTGTGATGAAATCATAACCTATTCATAGAAAAACTGAAATATGAGGAACCAACTTTGCTGAAATGTAGATTGTACCTTTCCCCATTCAGAATCAAGGCCACTGCATCTCATTTTCAAGTGTATCATCTTTGTCCCTAGTTCCATCTCCACTTTCTTCTTCAAGTATACCTCTTCTAACCCAAAAGCACTCAAGTAGGTGTTGTAACGTTGAAGTATTGTTTGGAATGCTTCAGAGAATTCTTTTGACATAGGCTTCACATTCTGCAACAATATAAATAATTGAACAGCAAGAACTTTGAGAAAATATGAATGAAGTCCCTAGTTTTAAACTCCACTTACCTCACCACTTAAACCAATCGCGTCATCCATCTCCATTTTCAGAGATGTGAGAATCCCTGTGAACTCCTCCACTGCCTCTGCTGCACGGAAAACATTAATCAAGGCTTCCTGACCAGCTTTGTCATCAGTACTTTTTGTCAATGCATTCTCTGCATCACCAACAACTGCATTGGGGAGCTCATCCCAGCTTGCAGCCATCAAGTCCTTAAAAGCTCGTTTGATCTCCAGATCTTCTATGTCAGGCATGTGGGCCACATCCTCACTAAACGAACGTGTGCTTCCTATTGCAGTTGTCAAAGGATGTCGCAATTCTAGAGTGTAGAAAAATCCATTTAGTTTCGCATTATTGAAGTAAGATCCCAAAAATCAAAAGCAGTACCATCTATCTCCACACGTGATCATTAAGCTGCTTCATGATTTGCAGATACAGAACTTGTGAAGGAAAAAGTAATCATTGAGGACCTTTCTACTCAATTAAAATCCTAAATAGTTTGTAGTAACCCTCAATCTAAGTAATGTTCTCCATAATCCAACCAAGGAGCCAGCACTAGTACATTTACACATGCCCATACTGATCACAGGGTGAGTAAAACGAAACATTTACCAAAACCATGCTCACTACCAAGACTATGTTTTTGCAGTGGGCCAATGTCATGCTCCGAAATTCATTTGTGGTTTTCGCAGTGGGACAATACTATTGCAGAAATTCATTTGCCTTAGAAACTAGTAAAAACTACCTTCTTTATTATATAAGCTCAATTAGCACTCGTAGTAGGCAAGAATATGCCTGCTGCAATCAGAACAAGTTTTGGTTATGCCACTAGTCATGATCAGCTATATGAATCCTCAACATCCATTTGGACATGTCTCAATCTCAAACAAGTCTGATCAGCTACTATATGAATCCTCAAAATCCACTTAGACTATAAATTCAACTTCTCTACTAACAAGACATTTCCAATTTGAGCAGAATAAAAATATGATCTTTCAAATTGGGTATGTCCAAAAACATGGGAATATTAGCAAAATCACAGTAAATATATGAAAAACATATGAAAATGCAAGTAACACGAAAAGGGGTTCTAGGAGAAGCTGAAAAATACAATCTTTTAAATTGGGTATGTCCAAGAACATGGGAATATAAGCAAAATCAAACTAAATATACGAAAAACAGATGAAAATGGTAGTACCACGAAAAGGGGTTCTAGGAGAAGCTGAAAAATGAAGGTCCCGATGGGAGTGGTGGTTGACGGCGGCAGCTGCGGCGGCGGAAACCGAGAAAGCTGAAGATCTGCGACATACAGAACGATAGAGTGATTGTATCAGTTTCAATTTCTGCATTTTATGGCAAGTTTTTGCTTTGCTTGATGATCAGATTGAAAATTTCAAGAGTCCCAATGAACTTAACAACTCCTCTCAAGTTTTGTAGTCACTCACCCCCCTTTTGATTTGTCACCCTTTTTGTTTTAGCAAAATCAATTTGAGTAATTTTCGAAATTTATATATTTGATAATGGTACAAAAAATATTATAATTAAATTTTTTTTTATAAAATGCATTTTAAGTATTGATCAAAATAAAAATAAAACATGACAAGTAAAAAAGGAACAAAGAGAATATCAACTTGTAAATAAAATGAGTTAAAAACAATTTCATATTGATTTTGCTAATTTTCGAAATTTACATAATTGAGAATGGTATAAAAAATATTATAATTAAAATCTTTTTTATAAAATACATTTTAAGTATTGATCAAAATAAAAATAAAGCATGACAAGTAAAAAAGGAACAAAGAAAATATCAGCTTGTAAATAAAATGAGTTAAAAATAATTTCATATTGTCAATTAAGAAAATCACAAAATAGAAATTGTTAGTAGTAGATTATGATTTATAGTAGTATTTTCCAGGTAAGTTATAAATATGTAATTATTATCTATCAATGTTCGAATAAATAGAAGTTTTTTTTGTTTACTATAAAATTCAAATGTGATATCTGACAGTTTTTCATCAATCATCACAATATCGACTATTAAATCATGTTTTTAGGTGTCTAAAAGAACGACAATTGTTTATGACTATTTTTTTTTTATATAGAAAGACCCTTTGATTCTAACAAAATGAATCAATTTTACAAATATATAAGATGATTAAAATGAGAATGAATGAAATATGAACCATTAGCATAATTAATATGAGATCTTAGGTTATAACCTCTTTTTTTTAATTTTTATTTTGAGATAAGGGGGTGCTTCAAAAATAGAGCAATCGAAGAAAAACTATGTCACGTGTATTTTGTCATACTCTACTATTTAAACATGTCAATAACTTCTTCTTTTTGTAGGTTTGAATTGTTAGGTAGAAAATAACATATTTAATGTATTTAGTAAAAGAAGATTGTGCTAAAATAATACAAAAATTAAAAATTAAAACAATTTAAGTTGTTCAAGCATAAACTAACTAGAGATATTACATAAATGACATGTTATACTTCATAAATCCATTAGAAAAAAATAATAATTAAAAGGCTAATACATTGAAGAAATGGGCCAAATTCTTCATCAAATCTTTGGACTCTTGAGAGTCCAAATCATGCAAATGAAATACATGGTCCTCTCCTTGTGTTTCATGGATCTCAACCATACCCATCCAGCCGCTCCGGCCCAACGCTTCATAATAGGCCCGCCCTCTATCCTTCAAAATATCTTTTTCCGCCACACAAATCAAGACTCTACGACATCCCAGGCTCATTAAACCTGGTGCACCTTTCGCAATCGGATTAACCCTCGGGTCATCATTATTTGGATTCGACGGACACACAAACGACCACATTCGATCCACACCCGCCTTCTTATCAGGGTACAAACCTTCCGACCCGATTGGATCCGACCCCCAAAAATACGGGTGGATTAAAGCAACACCAAGAATATCAACCATAAGCTCCGGGTCAACACTTCCAGCATTCATAGCCATATTATGCGCTATGTTAGCGCCCGCGCTATCACCAGACAAGAAAACACGTGCGAAATTCGCATGTTCATTCAGCCACGGCTCAGGACCATCGCCATTACAATGGGCGAAAACCCATTGTAGCACTTGCCATGAATCTTCATATGCAACATGTACAGGGTGTTCAGGGGGCCTTCTATAATGAACTGAAATCGCGATAACTCGCGATTCAGACACAAGGGTATTAAGATAATTATGATAGAGTGATGAAGAGGGAGTGAACATACAAAATCCTCCACCATGAAAATAAATAACAAGTGGTAATTTTTGGTTATTACAATTAATTGGGAGATACATACGAACATAAACTTCAGAATTAGGGACTATATTTGAAATATCTTTTGATGAAACTCCAATATGAGAATCAATACCTGGAGGAATTGCATCAATACCCAAAAGTCTCTCAACATGGCCATTTTTGTAAACTTTAAGATATGGTAAGAACTCATAATCAAGCTCTAAATTGCTTGAAGTCATTTAAATTTTAGCCTTAAATGAAGTACAGTACTTGGATTTTTTTTCTTTTCTTGAAATATATGTATTTATATTATGCTCAAATTCATTATCTTTGTGATATCTATTGAACATTTTATAACCACAAGTTTGTTATGCATATATGTTGTACTTAAAGATAAGGTGAAATATTAGCTTTTTGTATGCTTTTTAATTGTTGAAAGTAATTTTTAAGTGTTGGAAAAAGTTAATTTTACGTGTTCGAAAGGAATGATAACTTTTTAAATTTGAAAATTATTTGATTCAGTCTTTTCATTTTAATCTTAATGATGTGTTTTTACTACTAAATGAATGTTATTAAACTACTACTATTACTACTAATAGTTTGAACTTCAAGATATAGTGTCACTGAATTTTGAATTGGAAAAATTGAACGTTAGGACACGATATTTCTAAAACTTGAACTTTATGATAATTAAACTTCAATCATTATGAAATTTTGAAGTTTGCATTGAAAAAATAATTATACTCCAATCATTATGAAATTTTGAACTGAAAATCTGAACTTAGCAACATAATATCTTGAAATTATTAACTCAAAGTTAAATTCAAAACACAATATCTTAAAGTTTTAAATTGAAAAATTAAACTTCAAAATACATTATCATAAAGTATTAGGTATGACTAATAATTTATAAATAATATCTTCCTTCCAAATATTAGGAATATATATATATATATATATATATATAAACGCGTTATATATTAGACTTATTCTTTTCACATGGTTTGTTGTGTCAATATCCCTTAATTTTGTGCATGACAGCATGAGCACTTATCTATTAAAAAATAATTATTATTAATAAAGAAACTTTTGCTCTCTTTTTTTTCTTATTTATTTTTTGTTGTGTTAATTTCACAATGTCTATATGTCACCGACAGTTCTATTTAGTTTTAAGAAAATTGATTTAAAAAGAATGATATTTAATATTGAAACAATTTTAATTAAATTTAACTTTTTCTATTATCTTTAAATATATATGTTTATAGTCACAAAAATATCATAACATGCACATTTTGAATCACAAATTTTAATTCTTTTAAAAAAAATAAAAAAAATAATCCTACCTATTCCAATACTACTAACTAAATATTAATTCTTGTATAACTATGAATTTATTACTAGTGCTAGAAAGTATATTACTAACCAAACTAAAGTATAAGCTATGTTGAACTTATACGTTTCCGATGTAATGAGATGGTTGTGATTTCTTTGCTCTTAATTAGAGATTTTCGACTTGAATTCCTGAGGAAGAAAAATATCTCGTTGGGAGCATTGCTCCTAGAAATGCTCCATGTAATTATTAAATTTCGATTAATCGAGCATCCATACAAATATCAAACACCAACTAAAAGTAGAAAAAAAATTGTTTTAAATTTTATGCAAGATTTAAATTAGCAACCAAACAAAGTACTAATTAATAATGCTGAATTTTTTTGGTAAAGATTAATACACCTTATACACCCAACTAAGGTGGTCCAAATAGGTTTAAATTGCATTCGATTTTGCAAGTTTGATTTGAATATTTTTTTATTTTTTTATTTTGAGTTGCTTCTTCTTCTTACAAAAATTGAAGTACCAAATTCAATATACAATTAGAAATCCAAAAGTTAAAAAACTTAAATGCAGAATTTATCCACCATCTAAAAATACAAACCGAAAATCTAAAAAACTGAATTTCAATTATTATTATTATTATTTTCGAAACTAAGTAGGAATATAATTAATTAATTAATTAGGATGTATTTAGTATGAAGGAAAATATTTAGGTAAACAAGTGATTTTTTTTATTATGTGTTTGGTATACAAATAAAAATTATTATCCTAAAATATTTTTATATATTTAAGACAAAACTAAGAATGTGGAGTGGGGTTGGGTAGGATTGAAAAAATGCAACTTGATTTTTCTATATTTTATTAAGGATGTCATTCTCCATAGTTTCACGAAGACTTATTTTTCTAAGAAAAATATTAAAATTTATTGATCATCAAACACGAAAAAAAAAATATTTTCCTTCATATTAAACACACCCTTAGTTCATGGGCAAAGTTGACTTAGGAATTTCATCTGAATTCCTTCGACGAAAAATTACATTATTTATATATAGTTAACCTTTTTTTTATGCATATATAATATATATTGAACCCTCTCCAGTTAATTCGTATATACTTCTTCACATTTTAAACTTTCTTAATTGTAAAAATTCTAGATCCGCGATTGCTTTAATTACCTTAACTTTTTTTTTGTTTTTTGGTCTTTTGTCACATCTCATAAGACAACTGTCATAACCGACAAGTTTTTCTTTGCCACCTTTGGAAAAAAGTGACAATCTTTTGAATTTTGAGAATAACAAGAAAATTAATAAATTAAAGAAATGAAATAAAAACATGATAGAGACAACAATAATAAGATTCCATATTATAAAATTCATAACATTATATCATATCATATACTATTGAAACTGATCTAGTCAGTTTGAAATTTGTACAAATATTAATAAAAATCATCACTATCTTCATTTTTATTTTATATTATAGTACCTTATTACATATGTTGAATTTTAATTTCAAGATTTCAATTGACCATTTCTTTCTCCTTGTTTTTCTCTAAAAACTCTACAAGGTAGATGAACCAATATTCAACCAAATTTTTTTCTTTTTTTAAAAAAATTTATTATTTAATTTCATCTGTTTATTTTTATGGAGATTCCTAAATTATGGAAACCTCAGGTTAGTTTCTTAATCTAATTTTCATTAATTATATTGTTTGATCTAATTTAAGTACTTAAATAACTTGTGTATGATTCTTGTGTTTTTTTTTTGTGATTTTCAGGATTTATTTGTGATTAAATCACCTAAACAATCTTTGAGATTGGTCCTATTAGTATTTGCAGTGGTTTGTGGAATTTATATATTATCAATGTGTATAAATCAAACAAGTAATTATCTTTTACAAGCTAAATCACTAAGTATTCATGTGATTAATAGGCATAATTGTCATTATCCTATTTTTCAAGAAGAAGATATTCATTACTTGCATTTTCCAAAGCCTCAAACTTTTACCAGGTACCTCTAAATATATATACTGTTCAGACTCTTCAAAAATGTTGTTGCAGTATTTGTGTCAGATATTTTTTGAAGGATCTGACGCGTACTCTACGTGACATTTTTGAAGAGTCTGAACAACATAGATTATTCTCCTCTTCATGGTTTTAGCCATATGTTGCTCGGACTCTTCAAAATATCAATTGGTACCATGTGTGACATTTTTGAAGAATCTGAGCAACATAGATTATTCCTCCTTATGGTTTTAGCCTATGTTGCTCGGACTCTGTGTCGGATTTTAAAGGATCTGACATGGATGTGACAACAGTTTTGGAGGGTTGGAAGAACAGAGGTTTTAGTACAGAGATGGATAGATTGAATTGGACTAAATGACATGTTTTTTTATTGAATTGTAGGGAGGAATGTGCTTGCAATCCTGTTCGATTTTTCGCAATTTTATCGATGCAAAGATCAGGGAGTGGATGGTTTGAGACATTGTTAAATAGTCATATGAATGTGAGTTCTAATGGAGAAATTTTTGGTGCAAAATCAAGGAGGACTAATGCTTCAGTAATATTGGAAATTATGGATAATGTCTTTAATCTTGATTGGATTAGTAGCTCATCAAAGAATGAATGTACAGCTGCAATTGGATTTAAGTGGATGCTTAATCAGGTAATTAGTACTAATCCTATTTCAATTGATGATGTTTCGTGTTCGATAACGGTGGTGTCCTGTACAGTTTATGCATACTTCAACTATTTTATTATTAGTCCACCAAAACTGGGACAGATGGAAAAAATCACCTAGCTAGCGTTTTTCGCTTTTGCTGAGACTCTGTTTCATCAAGTTTAACGTCATCAACCACTACATTAGCCTTTCTCAGATGGTACCAGATGTTAATATCATAGTCCTTCAATAACTCAAGTCGTCTACTTAGCCTCAAATTCAACTTTTTTTCGTTGGTCTAATTCAACCCCGAAAGCAAGCTTAAGAAGGAAGGATTGATCAAGTTCATATAAGCAGATCACCAGTCCGTTAGACATAAAGACATGATTAGTTTCACAAATCTCGCTGATAAACTCTGTTTTTAGTCGCGTTTTCTTCGTTTAGAAGTGCATTAAGTTGATAATTTTCGATATTGTTAGATTGTTCTGAACTTTTTTAATGTGTATGAACTTGAAGGGAGCTTTGGAGTATCATGAGGAGATTGTGGATTACTTCAACAGAAGAGGTGTCTCTGCAATATTTCTGTTTAGAAGAAATCTGCTACGCAGGTTGATCTCGTTGCTCGCTAACTCGTACGATAAGGATGCTAAACCGTTGAATGGAACACACAAATCTCATACACATTCTCCGTATGAGGTAAGGCCTTCCGTCCCCTCCTTCTCCCGTTCTCTGACTCTTCAAAAATATTATTGTCCTGTGTGTGTCGGATATGCATTTTTCGAGGGTTGACACGGATGAGGCAACATTTTTGAAGGGTCAAAGCAACGTAGATTAACAATGTGTTTGGTATGATGGAAGGAAACATTCTTCAATAAGAAGTCATTTTCTGGTGGAAAGGGAGTCTTGACGTAACTGGTAAAGTTGTTGTCATGTGAGTGGAAATAGCCTCTTGCAGAAATGTAGGGTAACGTTGCATACAATAGAGTCCTCTGGTCCGGCCCTTCCAGACCATGTGCATAGTGGGAGCTTAGTGATTTGCTATTGATTTTCAAGGAACTATTCTTCGTAAAAGCATTTTCGAGGAAAACATTTTTCATCGTGTCATTAACTTGACGTTTTAAACATGTTTCAGGCTAAAGTATTGGCAAAATACAAGCCAGTGGTGAATATGTCATTACTAATACCAAATTTGAGGAATGCACAAAGGAAGGCTAATAGAGCTTTGGAATGTTTTAAGAGCACTAGACACATTCTTCTTTACTATGAAGACATTGTTCAAAATCACACCGTAAGGCTTTCGTATTCTCTCTGTTCCAATTTATATGACATTATCATTACTTGAAGAGTCGAAACAACTTTTTTTCCTCAATCATCTTAACCGCGACAAATTACAATTTTTCATATATATTTTACTCTGTGCAGAAACTAGCTGATGTTCAAGAGTTTTTGGGGCTGCCTCAAAGAGAACTCATAAGTGGCCAAGTTAAGATTCATAATGGCCCTTTGTCCCAACAAATAGAAAATTGGGATGAAGTGCAAAAAAAACTCAAAGGAACACCATATGATACATTTCTTATAAAAGACTAACTATATACTAAAATATATAGTAATAACCACATACAACATATTTGATAGAAAATTGGCTATGGAGATTCAGCGCGGTTAGAAATTAATAGAGACATAAATTGCTTCGATAATGGACCAGACCTCTTGATAGAATTCGAAGTTGGATGAAGTTCTAACCATCTATCAGAGAAAAAAGAACGGAGATCGTAAGATGTCCTGCTCAATTCAATCTTGTAAATGAACAGACTCACTTATCAAATTTTGAGTTGCTCTTTTTTGTTACATTTGCTTATAGAACATTTTTATTTGTTATTCATATATACATCATACATGAAATCAAATATTTTTGAGAGTTTTTTTCTCAAAAAACATGCAACCCAACAGACGACGACTACTTCACTTATTATTTAAGTATTAGCCGCCTATCCTGGAACGGGATAGAAAGAGGATAAACTAAGTGTCCACTAATCGAGGCCCGCCTTTTAGCACTTCCCTTCCCAAAAATGGAACTTAGGCTAACTCATCAAAAGTTAGCTCATACGAGGCGAGGATTGTCCAGTACCAAAATATAGATAGAATTCATTCCTTAAAGCAACGCGGGGAACTTTACAATGTGCAAGATGCTAACTCTTCAACGTAGCGTTCAATTCAAGTTGAACATGTTCCAACTAAAGCATGCAATGCTGGTTTTTCTCATATTCCCAGCAGCCAGAAGCAACTAATACTACTTTTACTGATGAATTGAGAAGCATTAGTCCATTTCGCGTAATATACAGTACTGTATATATTTGATCTGAAGTGTCTAATGACAAAAAGCAAAGATGAAGATTTTCACCTATGATTTCAAGGAACATTTGTCACAGCTCTTCACATATTCGATTTCTTTCAAAAAAGGTTATGATATCAATTACCATCTAAATTCTAAAAGCCTATATGTACAAACTGACAGTAGAAGAGTCTTGTAATCAAATGAGTTATTGATTAACTGACCCGTTCGCTAATTCTGAATCATGTTTTGCAGTCTTTTCAATCACAAATTGGTCAATAATCCGTACAGTATCTACAGGATCTTGATTAGGGGAGGATGCTCTCCATTTGCTGGGGAATTTCTGAAGGTAACTTGGATCCTGCGGATGTTTTGACTCTCCGTCCCATTTAGGATCCAGTTTCCACTCTTTCGGAACCTACAAATTGACAGATATTATTAGACGAATTGCCAAATGTAAACAGCTCGAGTAACTTTCGATAATGCACTTGACCTTTATTATCACAGAAAAGTGTCAAAATACCTTATCAACTGCAAGGGTAAAAACTTCAAGATCGCCTTTGTTGTTGATATGAAACCGTGTAAATGACTTGTAGTTAGCAATACGAAGTGATGAAAAGGCTTCGTCGAAATGTATATGAAGCCAATTAATGCAAATGTATAGGTAGCTTCCGAATACCAAAGAAACCACCGGAGTTGAAAAGACCCAAAAATAAAGGAAGACGGATGCATAATAAATTACAGCACCCCCTCGAGATAGTGAATCCATCCCATTCTTGCAGATAGTATTCCTAGTAACTGCCATTACCTGAAAACATGCATAAGATATAATTAAACGATTTGAGTCATCACAAAGCAATACTCTTATGGGGAATAATTCTTACCTCAGGAACATCAAAAGCAGACATGAGATATTTAATACATGCCGGGTAAAGGCCAAATGTCCAGTGTTCTATTCGTTTCTTAAGATCTGTTGGGTCTGGAAAATGCTCACTCTCCACTGATTTGTACCATTCATATAAAGTATGATAACCTGGATTGCAGCATTCGGTAGTTAGGAAAGGAAATACATAGATGCAAAAACATGAAACAAAGAAATCGGCGCTTAGCTAGGTAATCTCTCAAGAGAGGCTCAAGTAAAACTCAGTTTTCAATGGAGTAGTTAACTAATGGATTCAACTTTCAATGGAATATCCTAAAAGCATTCGGATATAATCTAGACAAATATAATGGGAGGTTAGAGGATAGGGGTGTGGGGTGGGAGGATGGGGCTACGAGGGTGGGGGGTGGGGGGAAAGTTGTGAAGATGAGGTGTATTGGAGAATGGGCAGAACACACTCAATGTGGAATATCACTTGTCGAACTTGTTTTCTGTACTTCCACTAGGGAAATCATTTTCCCTCGTTTTGAAGGAACTTATTTTCCTAGAGAAAATGTTTTCCAAAAATTTTGACCAACCGAACATGGAAAAACACACTCAAAGACAATCACAAAAGAGAAACAAAATACAAAATCTCACCAGAAGTTGCAAGTAGTTTATGGCGAATACATGTCTCAATGCCTAATTCTAGCAAGAGCATAAGAATCACAGCTGCAGCTAGGTGTGCAGACACATGAAGAATCCCAATTACTACTTTCTTTTTCCAAGGCACCGTGGATGGCACAAAGGATATTGCAATTATTAATAGCAGCACCGTGCCGGTCAAGGAGACATATGAGCGTCCAAATATATACATAAATGTACCCCACACTGTGTCGAAGAAGGTTCCCATGTGACCCGAAAATGTATCATCCTTGAAAATATGATCAAGCCGACACTAGAAGCAAATGGGAAATAAAACATTTAGTTAAATGTGTTACATGAACACGTCTAAACTGAACATTATATTTACATAAGCACACATTTGATGTACTTGACAACAAAATAAAAGATCAGTTGATGCATAAAAGGCACTTAAATGTCGGAAGCAATAAAAACACAACTGAAAATCATCAATCCGTAAATTTATACATTGGACCAACAACATTAATAAATAAATAAATAAACAAATAAAAGAAAAAAATCATAAGGTCATAATTAAGAGCAAGCATTCTAAACTAAACTTTACCTCATAAAAAAACAAAAAACTCAACACGTTTAACTCTTAATGAACAGTGATTTTGTACACTCAGATGGATAATTTAATGATGTTTAAAATAATGTATCATAAAGTTAAACATCACAATCGAAAATAAATGTCTAATACATTATAAGATTGATAAGTTTACAATACATAGAAGGAAACAACTGATATTTCAATGATAATGATCAGATATTGCAACACAACATTTCCACGACCTAAAACTAAGAGATATAATTATTGGCATAATACATAAAATACAACTCAGATTGCGCCACGGGCAAGTAAGCACTCCAACTTTGAGTATACATATCTAGACATCTCAAACTCGTCTCCACTATGTCACTTGAAAACTCCAACTTACCAAATGATCATCTAGACACCTCAAAAGCTTATATGACACATCAGCGTCGAGTGTCCACAAGACACGGTTGGGACAAGTTGGAGTGTCTAGTTGTCAGTTGAGACTAAGTTGAGGTGTCTAGATGTGCACTCTCAAAGTTGGAGTGTTTACTTGTCTGTTGAGACCAAGTTTGAGTGTGTGTTTAATTATGTATTCTGGCTAAGTTATTTTGAGATACAACTTCAACTTAAGATGTCATATATTAGTTTTATCAAACAGCCCCTAACTGAGTTACCATGAGGGAGAGTGCGGATAATGATACCTAAAGTAATCCTAAAAAGAAATAGATCAAAAATCAAATAGAAAGTTACCTGGGGGAACATAGAAAAGGCCAACATGAAGTATATGATGCCACCAATAAAATCAAATTGCCAATTTTTCTTCCTAAATTTCAATATATTTCCCAAAGCAATCTGCAAAATAGTTATAGCATATTACAGGCCTTATTTACAGCACTAAATAGTCTGTCTATATAATATAAAGGAGATTGATTACGTACCCTACTTGAATCTTCAAAAGTTGGGTAAGGATTTTTACACTCATAGGTTGTTCCGTATAAATTGTTGAAATTCTTGAAGACATGTGTCGGATGCAAAAAAGCACCCCCACAACCATTAACAAGTAAGTGCTGGACATAAACCTGTTTATCCGATTTCGATTCAACAAACTTATGGCGCATATAATGATGCACATCCCCAGCAATTCGAAGTCTACATCTCCCATTTAAGTGGTCACGTATCAAGTACGAGACATTCTTTCCAGTAACTTGATCGAAGTACCAATCGAGAAGCCAATTAGGTTCATGTGTCATAATGATCACAGAATCATTCTCGCCAACCTGAAATCCGTTAACCAAGGGTTAAAGTTTTCAACTCTATAGGGGGAATGGTTGGTTTGGGGTTGGGGGGGGGGAGGGGGGTAAAAGAAGACATGGTAAATGCACAAATTTATAAGAACACAACAAGTAAGGCTTGACGAACCCATAAGCACCTGCAGCTATCTAAATGAATATTATAGAATCATACTAATTCTGCAAACGACAAATCTATGGATCATTAGTTCTCTCCTTATCCAATACGATCACCATGCTCTTTTCAAAGTTCAACTAAAAGCATGAATTTTTTTAAATAAGAACAGAAAATAACATAAATGAAGTTTGAGCTGAAACTTCCAAGTTAATATAGACGGTCTTATTAACAGTTTTTACTGAAAAAAACAGTGATATCATTTTCCATTTACTTCTTAACATCCACAAAGAAGTACAAGAATGACACGCTTATATTGAGAGGCATCAAATTGCTCCACTTTTTCTTCTTCCTTGTTTAAGTCCTTTCTTTTTAAGAACCATATCAAGTCTGTTTGGCCAACCTTCTAAAATCAGCATATTTTGAGAAGTGTTTTTTCAGAAGTGCTTTTTCAAAAAGTATTTTGGTGAGAAGCAGTTTGTGTTTGGTTAATCAATTTGAAAAGCACTTTTGAGCAGCAATTAGTGATTGGACAAGCTTTTAAAAAGTGTTTCCAAGTGTATTTTCTCAAAAGTACTTTCGGGGAAAGCTGCATTTTTAGCTTTTGAAAAACAACTTATGCTACTCCCCAAAAGCACTTATTTTCTCCGCTTGGCCAAACACTTCACATTTTAAAAAAAGGGACTTTTGGCCTCCCAAAAGCTTCGCCAAATAGACGATAGATCTTACTCATATCCACCTTATACTTAAACTTCCATTTCACCTTCCACTTTTACCCTCTCCAGTCCTTCCCTTTTTCCTCCACCAAACAGAATGCAAATGTCAGGGGAACTCAGATCTAAGCAAGATGTGACAAAAAAAGATAGCATGAAGTAGTTAAGAGAATTGGTCACTCTTTTAACACATTTACATTCCAAGAAAGTTGAACAAAAAAATTTGATCACTTTTTCCAGACATCAATCAAATGTGAAAGCTAAGGAAAACCTGAATAACAGAGACATAACAAGACCTTGGCTGAGAAACAAATCAAACTGATATAACTCATAAATGTGTTGCTG